TCAAATCTGAAGCTTAATTTTGCTGGATACAGTATTCTTGGTTGGAATCGAATATTTTTCAGTGTTTGAAATACATTGTTCCAGGATCTTCTTGCTTTCAAAGTCTGTGATGAAAAATAAGTCATTAACCTAATTGGTTTACCCCTGAATGTAATCTGCCTCCTTTCTCTCGTAGCTTTTAATATTCTCTCCTTGTTCTGTATGTTGGCTAACTTCATAATTATATGTCTTGGAGTTGGTCTATTACGATTTTGAATGTTTGGGGTCCTGTAAGCTTCCAGGACTTGGCAATCCATTCCATCTTTCATCTCTGGGAAGTTTTCTAGAATTATTTCATTTAATAGGTTGTCCATTCCTTTGGTTTGAACCTCTGTACCTTCTTCTATCCCAATGACTCTCAAGTTTGGTTTTTTTATGACATCCCATATCTCTTGAGTAGATTGCTCGTGAGATTTAAGCATCCTTTCTGTGTTGACTACATTCTTTTCAAGTTGATAAACTTTGTCTTCATTATCTGATGTTCTGACTTCTACTTGATCTAGTCTATTTGTAATATTCTCATTTGAGTTTTTAATTTGGTTTATAGTTTCCTGCATTTCTAGGATTATTGTTTGATTTTTTTTTTAAATCTCTATCTCCTGGTAAAGCTCGTTCTTTGCCATTTGAATTTGTTTGTTTAATTCGTTTTCAAAATATACTTTCATTGCTTGGACTTGCTGTCTCATGTCTTCTCTAATATTCTGTTCCATCTGAGTTAGGTATGCCTTGAGTTCTTTCCCTATCCATGTTTCTGATGCTTCTAGGTCCTCCTGTAGATTTAAGTTGTCCTGCATTGTTTGTAATCCTTTTATCCCTTGTTTTTTCATGTTGTTCACATTACTTTCCAGCTCTGTTTGATTGCTGTGTTTCTGCTCTCTCCTGCTAAAGTGGATTCCGCCAGGAAGGAATTCCGTCGGCCAAACTCCGGTGATGTCACTTCTCTGCTATGGCGGGCCCCAGGCTCCTTGCCGGGGTGTCCGAAGGGAGGGGTGGGACTGGTCTGTCTCTGGTTGGTTTCAGCTCCCGGTTGTCTACTTCATGAAGGCCTGGCTATAGACCTCTTCCTAGAGTCTCTGCGCCGTACCTGCTGGGCCGCACCTTGGGGTCTAGCCGCCTGGTCGCCGGCGGGCGGGCGGTCGGTCTCTAGCCACCCAGTTGTGTGGGTGGTCGCTGGCGGGCAGGCGGGCGGTCTCTAGTCGCCCAGTCACGTGGGCAGCGGTCGGGCGGTCGTCGGCGGGTGGGCGGTCGTCGGCGGGTGGGCGGTCTCCAGCCACCCAGTTGCGCGGGCGGTTGCCGGCGGGCAGGCGGTCTCCAGCCGCCCAGTCGTGCGGGCAGCGGGCGGGCAATCGGTCGCCGGCGGGAGGGTGGTCTCTAGTCGCCCAGTCGCGAGGGCCTGGCCTCTAGTCCCCTGCTTCTCCTGCTAGCCCGCCCTTCCCCTGTGTGATGCCTCTGGGCAGTTCAAACTGTACTCTGGGCCTGCGGTTTGCTGGGTGTGGATGGTGGCTATTGGGAATCGGCACCCTATTGTTTTGATTTTTTCCGCTTGCCCCTCCCCCAGAGCCGGCAAGACAGGTTTCGTTTTCGCCGCTGATGGGAGGGGGAGTTGGAGGTCAGGTGTCTCTACCTTTCCCTGCGTCTCTATGCAGGCTCGTTCTGATACTCCCTCCCCCGGAAACCTGGGAGATATTTTATGCGAATTCCCCGCTGTATGGGAGATGGGCTGAGTAACACACACCTGTTTTATTGTTGCAATCTGTCTGAAACTGGCGGTGGTGACCTCAGCTCTCCAAGATGGTGGCCGCTGGCTTCCTTGGTGGACTTTCTGTTGTGGGTGATAGAACTGGACCTCTTCCTTCCCCATCTCAAACCCCGAACTCAGCCCAGGGCTCAGTGAGGGCACAGCCGGCAGGACTCCACAGAATCCGTAGACTCCACAGAAACTGTTTCTCTCTGCTTGCTGGTCGCTTCTTGGTGGCACCCCGCCATCTGTAGCCGTGGGGCGGGCCGCGTGGCAAGCGGCGGATCAGTCAGCCTGGATCTCCAGTTGCACAGTTGCCTCGCGTTTGAGATTCAATAACCGGTCCTCGGTGATGGAAATCCTTCCTCTAGGTTTCGGTGCACCCTGATTTTGCTGTAAATTCCTGACAAGATAGCTTTTTGTTGTTCTAATTCATTATTCACCTGCGCAGTGTCGCGGTACACGGGGTGTGATGCACTCTATTCGCGGCCATCTTGGAATCTGCCTTAATCTTTTTTATCCCAGGCTGCATTCAAGGAGTTGAGTACAGGATACTTTTGAGCCTGACCTGTCTTCATAATCATTATCACAATGTCATCATCTTTAAGTGAGTTACTCACTGTCAATTGTACCCAGAGTCTCCTTTGTTCCTTTTCTTATACTAGGCATATTGATATGCAATGTAGGAGGCCCTTTGCATCCTTTTCTTTAGGCTTCCTTGAAGATCCTTTTGCAGAGGCTGCCTATAAACTATGGGTTGGCCTTAGTTTCTTTTTCTTTTCTGGGTGCAGTTGTTTATTCTGTGAGTCTCCCCAGGCATTTAGTTTGATGGGATACTATTACAGAAAGAATTGCTTTGCCCCTGTGATGAATATCCCCTGGCCAAATGGGGTCTCCTGTCAGATCTTAAAAGGGGAGAATATTCCTGTCCCCAGGTTATAAACCAACAGTGCTGGAACCTATTGCCACATCCCATGTGGCCAGCAGCCTCCACACCCACAAGGACAAAAGGGTCTGGAAGGCAGGGCAGATGCTAGGTTCTCTTTGGCCATTTTTCTACAGCCCAGGCAACTTTTGGGGGATTCCACCCTCCTCCCAATTTAGGGCTAGTGAAATGATTGGTGGCTGATTGGGGCCAGGCTGAGAAACAGTGCTGGTACTACATGGATACTGAGACCCTCAAATAACTCTCAGGCCACACATTGCCTTCTAATTAAGCCTTTATTGCTGGCCAGCGGCGGACACTGTACTTTCTAAAAGCAAGATGGTCAGAGTGATGCACCTCCTTCAGTTTGTGCCTTTTCTTATACTATATTTAAGTATACATATTTAAGCCAAAAAACCACAAAGGGATGTTGGGGGTTTAGCCAATGCAAGCAAGCAAGTTACAGAAGCGGGAGATTGCAGCCAGGTGGTGGGAGGCTTAGCCAATCAAAATAAACCCAGTTACCCCAGTTACAGAAACAGAGCCCAGTTACCCCTAGTTACAGAAATAGGAGATAGTGGTTAGATAGCTCTGTGTTCTTGAGGGTTTCCACAACAAAAGGGAAAACAACTTGCCTCAGTCCTGACCTTTCTAGTTGGCATGGCTGTTTTACAAAATAGAGTTACTAAACAAAATGGAGTCACTATAGTCAAGACTTCTGTCTCATCACACGGGGAGTGCTGGCACTGGGTTTAAAAGATTTACATCTTTTAAATTCTTTCATCTGGTATCCTGCTGTCCTTGCACACCAGAGGCAGTGTCTTTTGGCACCTTCAAATTGGTTCCTGACTGTTCAGATCCCTTATCATGCAACTGCAAAAATGCCTGTACATACAGAATCTCTTTTATATACTTTACACCTGACAGACCCACTTCAACTTCAAGATTGTATAACAATCCAGAAAAACCATTCAAAGGCCAGGTTGTGTTACAGTAAACTCTCTTTATCTTAGACGGGCTTATACCTATAGGTGGCCTTTTCAGCCAAGATCTCTCTGCTCATGAGACTACGGGTTAAGATGGACACAGCATGTCCCATGTCTTAAAGGGCAGTAACAGACAAAAACAAAACAAAACAACAACAACAACAAAAAAACCCAAAACAACAACAACAACAACAACAACAAAAAAAACAGATGAGAAAGTATCACCAAAACCAGAGCTCCAAAAGAGACAGACCTGCATATACAAATTTCTTCCACTTTACCTTTTTTTTTTTTAAGAGATCCACAAGAAAGTTTATTTGTCAAAGCAAACAGATAGAAACCCTCTCTCTATAGAGGGGATAGAGAGGCCTCCACTTTACTTTTGACAGACCAGCTCCAATATTGTACAATAATCTACAAAGATATTTAAAAGCCAGATCATTATAGTCAAACATTATCTTAGACAGACATATAGGTTGTCTTTTCTTCAACACACTTTACCTCTGACAGGTAAACTCCAAATTGTAGGATTGTATCAAAAAGAAGCAGAGAGAGGGGCTAGGGTTGTAGCTCAATGGTAGAACACTTGCTCAGCACGTGAGACATGGGATTTGATCCTCAGCACCACGTTAAAAAAATAATATAGTGTCCATCTACAACTTAATTTTTTAAAAAGGTTGTCAAGAAACAGAGAGACAACCAGAGAGGACCCCAAACCATGACCAGTATATAGGAACCTTTAAATTGCCCAGCCAGGATCTTTTCCAAGAGACTACCTGTTGTTAAACCACGACATAAAGAAAAGACCACTGACTCCAATTTTAAATCAAATTTCTGAGTAGCCAGGACTGTCTCTCCCCAAATCCATGGGTTAGAAGACAGTACTCCAGCTCTATAGAAGTGCATTTTTATAGCACAAAAAGTTGCAAAAGGTGGGTGTCTTGAGAACTTACAGAAAATAGGGCTTTTGAGCCGGGGATGTGGCTCAAGCAGTAGAGGGCTGGCCTGGCATGCGCTGGGCGCTGGGTACGATCCTCAGCACCACATAAAAATAAAATAAAGATGTCGTGTCCACCGAAAACTAAAATATATATAATTAAAAAACTCTCTCTCTCTCTCTCTCTCTCTCTCTCTCTCTAAGTAAAAAAAGAAAGAAAACAGGGTTTTGACAAGCATAATATAAAGGCAGGTAGTAGGTTAATGGTCTAAATTGTTCAGCTCTTAGGGACTTAATTTAGATCCCAACATCAGAATTTATGAGTTGCCATTAGGGTTTCAGAGAGAGTTGTTATCTGGCCAGGGAAAACCAGGCATGGGTGAGTTCAAGGCATGGGAAGGCATTCCAAAAAAGTTTAAAACATCAAAATACAGCCAGGCCAAATAGAAATCCTAATATTTTACAGAAAAAAATGAATCTTTTATAACTTTTTACAAGATGGTTCCTGATCTTAAGAGGGAATTAGGCTGGGTTTATCATTCCTCCCTTGTCTTATGTATCTCTTTCAAATCTTTGATAGGGATCAATCAGTAATGTCAATCATATATGTTAATACTGTCAATGGTACATAATAGAATCAAGTTGTAGCCCAATAAACCTGAGCACATAGTTAATAATGCATGGGACAATAACTAATAGGAGAAGGATACAAATTATAGGACCTGAAAGAGAACTTAACCATGGAAATCAGTTTCCCAAGCCAGGATTTGGGGTTCTGTCTCATTCTTCAAGTCTGGGAAGTTTTCTCGAATTATTTCATTGAGTAGATTGCTCATTCCTTTGGTTTGAAACTCTGTTCCTTCCTGTATCCCAATGACTCTTAAATTTGGTCTCTTGATGTTATCCCATATTTCTTGGATGTTCTGCTCATGGTTTCTTAACAGTCTTGCTGAGCTGTCTATGTTCTTTTCAAGTTGAAATACTTTGTCTTCATTGTCTGATGTTCTATCTTCTAAGTGTTCTACTCTGCTGGTAGTATTCTCCATTGAGTTTTTAAGTTGGTTTATTGCTTCCTGCATTTCTAGGATTTCTGTTTATTTGTTTTTTATAACCTCTATCTCCCTGTATAGTTGATCCTTTGCTTCCTGGATTTGTTTGCGTAATTCGTTGTCGAAGTGATCTTTCATTGTCTGATTTTGCTGTCTAATGTCTTCCTTGATACTCCAGATCATTTGAAGCATGTATATCCTGAATTCTTTATCTGACATTCCATCTGCTGCAGCTGTTACCTCTTCTAAAGTTGCGTTGACCTGCATTGCTTGTGGTCCTTTCTTTCCTTGTCTTTTCATTCTGCTTGCGTATCTTTCCTGCAGGTGCAGGCGGCGGCTCTGCTCTCTCCTTATTCCAATTGGGGTTTCGTGGCTACCACGCCAGCAGGTCACTGGGCCTGTTCTGGGAGCTGGCGGCGGCTCTGTTCTGCCCCTGCTCCGATTGGGGTGACGAGTGTACCACGCCGGCAGGCCACTGGGCCTGATCCGCCGGTCGGTTGCAGGTTTGCCTACCCTGCAGGCGCGGGAGGCGGCTCTACTCTGCCCCTACTCCAAATGGGGTGACGTGTCTGTCGTACCGGCAGGCCACTGGGCCTGTCCCGCTGGTCGGTCGCAGATCTGCCCACCTTTCGGGCACGGGTGGAGGCTCTGCTCTGCCCCTACTCCAATTGGGGTGTCATGACTACCCCGCCTGCAGGACGCTGGGCCTGTTCCTGGCACGGGCGGCGACTCTGCTCTGCCACTACTCCAATTAGGGTGGTGTTTGTACCACGCTGGCAGGCTCCTGGGCCTGATCTGCCGGTCTGTTGTAGGTCTGCCTACCTTGGAGGCGTGGGCGGCGGATCTGCCCTGCCCCTCCTACCACGCCTGCGGACCCCTGGGCCTGATCTGCAGGTTGATCACTGGTCTGCTCACCCTGCGGGCACGGGTGGCGGTTCCGCTCCGCCCCCACTCCAATTGGGGTCACGTGACCACCACACCAGCAGGGCCTGATCCGGGCGTGGCAGAAGGATCTGCTCTGCCCCTACTCCAGTTGGGGTGACGTGTGTACCACACTGGCAGGCCACTGGGCCTGACCCGCCAGGCTGTCACAGGTCTGTTTACCTTGCCAGCGCGAACGGCGGCTCTGCCCTGCCCCTCCTACCACGCCCATGTACCACTGGGTCGCGGGTCTGCCCACCTTGCGGGTGCGGGTGGCGGCTCTGCTCCGCCCCCTCTCCAATTGGGGTCATGCGTTCACCACGCTGGCGAGCCGCTGGGCCTGCTCTGGGCGCTGGCGGCAGCCCGGCTCCTCCCCTCTGGCTCGACGACAAATTGAGGAGACTCGGGTGACTGTGCCTCACCCCCCCCTACCGGGAGACCAACTGCTTATGTCACCGCTGGTATTGATGAAGTTCTCTCCTCCGCCGCTTTCTGCTGACATCAGATCTCTGCCATGTTGGTATCCTATGCGAATGGCAGCATTTCGTTCCCCTTGCCAGGCAACCAAAGCATCGGGTGAGTCATGACCGGCCCTCAGCAGGACCCGGACCGAGAAGCAGTTTCCGCGGGCTCCTAGCCCCGGGCCAGGGAAGTTCCGGGAGCCGGAACTCGGCCGCTCCGTGCTCTGTGTAAGCTCCTATAAGTGTAAGCTCCAAGAAGCAGTCCCGCCGGCTCAGTTCCGGGAGCCGGAATTCGGCTGCTTAGTGCTTGGTGTATGCTCTGATAGGCGCAGGGTCCAAGAAGCAGCCTCCGCAGGCTCCGCAGCCCTGGGCCAGGGCGGTTCCGGGTCGGTTCCGGGAGCCGGAACTCGTCCGCTCCGTGCTCTGTGTAAGCTCCTATAAGTGTAAGCTCCAAGAAGCAGTCCCCGCGGGCTCAGTTCCGGGAGCCGGAATTCGGCTGCTTAGTGCTTGGTGTGTGCTCTGATAGGCGCAGGGTCCAAGAAGCAGCCTCCGCAGGCTCCGCAGCCCTGGGCCAGGGCGGTTCCGGGACGGTTCCGGGAGCCGGAACTCGGCCGCCCCGCGCTCGGTGTTCGCTCCGATAGGATCAGGTTCTAAGAAGCACCCAGGCGCTGAACCCTAGCAATCTGTCTGCAAGCCGCAGGCGAATTGCAGCCTGAAATTACCTGATCTATGGCTGAATGAGCTGCGGTCAGTCGAAAACAGGGGTGGTGACGTCAGTTTACCAACATGGTGGCTGCTGGCCTCCTCTGTGGTCTGACCGGAGTGGAGAACCGAGATGGACCGCTTCCTTCCCCCGTCTCGAACCCAGAATTCAGCCCTGAGTACGGTGCTTGCGTGGCTGGCAGAAACTGCAGCGCTGTAACCCTGCGTCTCTATCCCAGCGCGCTCTGCAGACTTTAGCCGCGGGGCGATTTGCTGAATAAGCAGTGTTACCCTCCGTGCGACAAACCTCTCGCGTTTGAGTCCCCGTAGCCGATCCTCGTGCGATGGAAATCCTTCCTCCAGGTTCCGGAGCACCCCACTATTGCTGGAAATTCCTAACAAAATATCCTTTAGCCGTCCTGACTTGTCATACTCCCACACAGTGAAGCAGCACACGGGGACAATGCACTCCCCTCGCCGCCATCTTCTCTCCTCATCTTAGCAGTGGTTTTGCAGACCTCACTGCACTGGTGGGGGATTTTCACCTTCCTGAGCTTTTCAGTTCCTTGAAAGACTTTGACCAACCAGAAAGTCCCACAATAATAAAATGCAATGACACAAGAGCCATCATGGTGAAACAGGGTCAGGAAATCACAAGTGCCATAAAGGGTCCTAGTGACCCAGTGAGGAACAACAAACATAAAGCCTCAGAGTGTCCTGATGGAACTCCTCAGGCCAAAATGCAGCTAAGGGACCTAGAGTGTGCATTAGGAGGAGAAGTTGCTCACAGGGATGCAGACAGTAGTAGGGTCCCTGTGCACACAGCCAAGCACTCTATCAGCAAAGCTCAGGAAGCTGCATCCAGCAGGAACAGCAAGGCTAAGGGCCATGGGCAGGAAAAGACCAAGAGGACCAGAGAAAACAACTCCAGGAAAGCCGAGGAGAAGAAGAAGCCAGGCAACAAAGTCAAGGCAGAAAAGAAGCCAACAGTGCCCAAACTGAAGAGGAAGAGGAACCAACCTGAGCTTCGCCAAGAAACCTTTAAAAAGCCTCGGAGCTGTCTCGGCATGCACATGCTGGAGTCGGTGCAGGTTTTCCATGCACTGGGGAAGAAGAATGATAAGAACACTGGGCTCTCTTCTTCCCGGGCCCCGGGAAACTCAGGCAGTACCCAAGACCCCCGTCCATGCCCAGCTATGAAACCATGGCTGGTGGTTAAGGGTCCTGAGAAATCACAAGTCAAAGCCCAGAACCCAGATATCAGTGCTGAAAGAGAGAGTCCCTCTTCAGCAATTTATGAGCCTCCACCATCTGGGAGGGTTAAATTGGTACCTTTGCCTTTTCTGACCCTGGAGAAACCTCCAACTGGACCAGTAATCAACCGGAGGCCACAGTCTCTGGCCTCAAGGAGACCCCCTAGGGCTTACCCTGCCCAGCCTGGCCCTGCTAGCTCAGCTCAACCCATGGCAGTCAACCAATCCCAACCAGCTACTGCCAACCTATCTTGGATGCGTCCTGCCAAGCCAGCTCAGCCTGTTTTGACCCATGCCATTCAGTCAGGTGTGACCACTTCTACCCAAGCTACTGTCCCTCGGTCTGCTGCTTCTGGGCCTGCACCTTACAAAACATCATCTTGCACTTCTCTCCAGTGGCAACCCGTTCCCACTGTTGGGACCAAGCCCCAGTCACAACTGCCCAAGCCTCAAAACCAATTATCTACTCCAAGACTTTGCGTTACAACCAATTCCATGGAGGAAACCCAATGTTCCTGGGCAAGTAATATCAACTCCCATCACCAAACAGCAGAGGCCAGAGCGGGAAGCCATGAAGAAGAAGGCTCAACAAGAGCGTGAGAATGCTGCCAAGTACACTGCTTTGGGGAGAGTGCAGTGTTTCATTGAGAGGGAAAGAGAGATGGAGATTTCTCGCTACTATGGCTACATAATGTAAGAGCGGCTGAGATCGGTGGTACCTCTTAGGGACCAAATAGTTTTCCACATGTATATAGATAGAGAGATATACATTTATTTATTCTCATAAACATTCAATGTTTAATAAAATTAAATTAATAATGTAATATAATAATATAAGTATACATAATAAAGAGGCCTTTTAGTACCACTGAGAATTGATAGAAAATAAAGAGGCCTTTGGGTACTACATGGGTACCAAATAGTGTTGCACATATATACATAGATAGATAGATACATACAAAATTATTCATTTAGACACAGTTCAAAATGTAATATAGTTGAATACAGAAATGCTATAAGATTGATTAATAGGTAAATAATAGAGAGGCTTTATGGTATCATTTGAATACCAAATAGGTTTCTACATATATAGAGTTACATAGATACAAAGTTATACACTGATACGTTTTTAAGTGTTAAGATAGTTGAATAAAGATATGTAATAGAATAGTTTGAGAGATAAGTTATAAAGAGACTTTTTGATATGCTTGGGGATTACATAGTTTTCTACACATATATAGATACAAATTTTTATAAATATGTAGATATGTAGGCACAAATTTATTCATTCTAATACATTTAATACAATTTAATAAAATTGAATGAAGTAATTTAATAGAATTTATTAATAGATAATGTAGAGTCCTTGTGTTACCACTTGGCTACAAACCTTTTTCCTCATAGAGGTATAAATATGTACTCATTCCAATATACTTTTAAAACAATAACGTTGAATAAAGACATGTAGTGGAATTGATTAATAGATAATAAACAGGACTTTTGCGTTAGAATGGCTATTAAGTGTGGTTTTGTTTGGTAGAGGTGTGGATCACAGCCTGCATGAGAAGAAAGTTGGCCAGGAGAACAGGGGTAAAGGCTAGGAATGGGGAAAAGAGGAAGGCATATGATACAGCACTAGTAAGGCAAAAAGAAGAGAGATGTATGGGCTTACTGGAAGAATCAGGAATTGGCAAAATGGCTGACCAATAACACAATGTTTGAAACTAGGGTTAAAATGATAAAATGTGAATCAAATTGAAAATGGTAGGAGATGGGTTCAGGTTGACCAGAAGAAATGCAAAAATCTCTCAACTCTCATGCAGAATGGCCTAGGTCTTTTGACCTACCAGAAGGCATTTTACAAAATAAGATTCAGGACACATCTCCACCATGTTTGGGTCCCTGAAGATCCTAGGTGGGAAAGGTGGATACAAAACACGGGGACTCTACCAGGGGAGCCGCAAGGGTTCACAGTTATCCTGAGGGCAGGTGATAACCTGGGACTTGGCCTAGTGAACTGCAGCAGCATGAGGCCCACCCAGAACACGGCCTGGAATAAATCACCATTGACTCAACAATCATGCACCAGGGCAGCAGAGAGGCACTACTTCAATTAACCTTCTCACACAAGGTCAGTATCACTCGGTGACACTTTACTACTGATCTACTGCTCTAGGATCAAATTGTATGCAGAGAAGCAAAGCCTCAATCTGAGGCCTGTGGCCTGGAGTCCTCAGTGTTGACAAGGCAACCTGGTCTGTCCCACAGGCAGCCAACCTGGCTTTCAGAGCACAACATATAGAGGTTAGGGTAGAGGGTAGAGGAGAGAGATCACAATTGAAAGGGGGATACATACTGAACTGAGAGTCCTGCCAAGTTCTCCTCCATTGATTCTGGCGCGTGCTGCCTTCATGGACTATTGCCATCAACCGAAGCTCAGGAGAAAATAAATCAGTTCTTGGCGTCTATTTCCGCCCAATGCAAGCAGAGTGCGCATACGCAGGGAGCAGCTTGCCAGCTGCAGGACCCAGCAGCCCAAGAGTTGGCTGAGGTGTGCAGGCTCTGTGTGAGGTGACAGTCCTGGGGCACAGCTGACACGAGAGAGGGTGAGGTATCCAGCGGGAGGATAGGAAAGAAAAGGAGTGGGGCAAGAAGATGATGGAGGCAGCACACCATGACCATCGAAAGATTAGTACTTTTATATTTTTAAATTATTTCTTAAAATAAAATGCACATAAAATTCATCATTAAAAACGTTCAGTTTAGGGGCATTAAGTACTTTCACGAGGTTGTGTAACCATCGCCACTCTCTAATTCATAACATTTTCATAATCCCCAAAAGAAAACCTTGTCCCTGTTAGAGGTCATTCCCATTTTCAACACCCCCTGGCCCCAGCAACCATTAATCCCTCTGGTTTTGCCCTTTCTGGACATTGCATATAAAAGGAATCACACAATATGTGACCTCTTATATTGGGCTTCTTTCGCTTGGAAGACTGTTTTCAAGGATCATCCATGTTGTAAACTGTGAGTCCTTCCTCCCCAGTTAAGACTGCCTATTATCATATTGTATGGATATACTACATTTGTTTATCCACACATCCCTGGTGGGCATTGCATTGTCTTTACTTGTAATTTACATTGATTGAGAATTTTTGGCTCAAAGTTATTCTGCCCCCCCCAGTGACATTTCATAAATAATGTCAATAATTTTCTCAAGGGTAAGAACCACCATTTAACTGCACATGTGGGATTTGAACTCTGGCATTCAAAATTTGAAAGTAATATATTCACATGATAGAACAGTTACAAAGATGCAAAAAGAGTACTCATTGGAAATCCACCCATTTGCTCCAATTTTCCAGCCACCATCTTCACCACTCTTCCCATCACCTTTTTCCAATTTTTGGACCCATCCAGAGATATTATTTAACCCCCAAATGTATATATCACAATTTCTTGAATAATTTGTCCTACTGATTTGAAATGTCATCTTTATGACATATTTCCTATGTGTATTTGCTTTCTTGTTTCTAGAATTTGCCTGGATTTCTTGCTTTTCATATTTACTAGGTCTCTGGGATACTTTTAATTATGTTTGATTTTTTTAAAAAATTCTTTCTTCTTTCTTTTTAGACATTATCTACTATGTTCATTCACTGTGTTCCCTTTTAGTTGCATCTTCCTTTGTTTTCTACCATATCATCTAATTTCCATTTATGTTGTTTTTTTCTGTTGTGGAACATAAAGTTCAAGTGGATAACTCCATAGCATTAAGTAGATGCACAATGTTGTTCAAGGATTATCCACTATTCAAATCCAAAACTTTTCACCATCTCAAACAGAAAGCTGTATCCATGATGCAATTCCCCATTCCCCTCTCATGGCCTACTGTCTCTTAGCTAGTTTTGAAAGAGTGGGCTACCCTCTGATATGCTCGGTGGGTTCTTTTCTGACTTGTTTTCGTTGTCTGAGAGGATGCTATTCTCCTTTTTGTTAGAATTACTTTATATGGCATTTGGTTTCCTTCTTTTCTTGCTATGCATTTTTATGCAAAATTCATTTTCCTTGTAAAAGTTCGGTTGAGGATAGTTTCTTATGTGATGGAACAGCAACTTCCACCTCTCCTTCCTCCACCTCTTCTTCTCCCCTCTGGTTCTGCCCTCCCCATTCTCCCTCTGCTCTCCTTCTCCTCTTCCTCCTCCTTGAAGTATTAAAAACTGGTGGCTTGGTTTCTAAGATTTTATAGTTGTTACCCACCTGGAGGTTTATCTTTGTGTTATTGTTCCTCCCAGCAATTTCCTAACACAATGTAAATGCTATGTAAATAGCTGTTGTACCATATTGACTATACAACCTATAGAACCTATTGTAGGAGATCTACTGCACTCACTTTGGGGTTGGCCAGAACCCCTTTCAGTTTCATCTGCTCTTCTCCTGCTGGCCCACAGGGCTTTGTAGGAATGCCTGCTGGAGCTTTGAAAGCCTCCTGTCTCCCATTTCCTCTGGTGCAAGTGTTGCTGCCAGGCAGGTCTGGTGCCTCCTGCTGGTGGTTTGCCCTATCCTTTTGTTCTGAGGTTCCAGGGTTTGGCATTCTTTCATCTATTTCCATGGCCTCTAGGCCAAATGTGTCTCTTTTTCTTTTCTTTGTTTTGGGAGACTCCAAACTGCACCGCTGCTTGCATCTTTCTGCAATTTTGATAGATAACATAATTATTTTTAATTGAGGAAATTGCAGGTTTCAGTTCCTTAAGCAGAGCTCCGTTTTCCCCAGACTAGTTAAGACTCTAGGGCACACTGTGAGTCCCCTGTAACTACCATGGCACCTGGTGTCTTCGCATGATGTTTTGAATGAGAAGTTACAACAACAATCTCAGGGTTCATGGGGGAGGGACATCTGGCCACAGGAAGAGGGAGGAGTCTGCGGGACAGGTGGAGAATGGGGGACATGGCCTCTAGTCCAAATGGGTGTTTTTCTTTTCTTTGTATCTACTTTCTAAACATGTATGAAAAAGAATCTCCAATTTGTTCTCCTTCAACTGATGGAGGGGAGTCAGGGAAGGTGATCTGGTCTGTGCAAAATTTCCTTTAATTAATGTCATCTTTCCAGTTGCCCAGACCACAATCCTTTGACATCCTTTGACTCCTTTCTCTCTCTCTCAATCGTACACTTGGAATTTTAGTAAATTTCATCTACCCTCTCTTCACATCGCATCTAGAACCTATCCACTTCTAACTCCATTCCTCCATTTCTGTTCTAGCATAATTCCTAACCATTTACTGCCTTTCTCTACACATGATATGGGACACACACATTTTCCATAAAAAGATGGATATGTAGTAAATACATAACTGTCTGTGAGCAAGATTGTCTCTGTCTCCACAGCTCCACTCTGCACTTGTAGCATGGACATGACCATGGAAAACAGGAGAATACATGGACATTAGCTCTGTTTTAATAAAACTTTATTCACAAAAACAGGCTGTACTGCTTCACAGACTCTGGCTCTGCCTGATCTACTGCTATGCTCCCGTTCAATCACTCCACCCCAGACCTCTTGAGCCCACTTGCTGTTCCAAGCCTAAAAAACTCTTTTCACGTCCTTCAAGCCTCTTCTCAAATTGTACCTTTCCAAGAGTGTTTTTCGGACTACACTCTTTGAAACTGCAATCACCTCTCAGGGTTTCTCCTTCCTT